TTATTTATATAAAGGAATAATACTTTTCTGACACAAACCCCCTTGGGAATTACATCAATGATATGAAAAATAAATATGTTTTCTCTCCTGTTGTATAAATAATGGATTAGGTTTTCACTGGAGAAGCCGAAAGTAGGATGTAAGGACAATTTGTGTAACCCTCAAAGTAGGCTGTGGTGTACAGCAGCAGACTGTTATAAAACATGACACAGTAGGAAATGTGATTCATTTGTGATGGAAACCCCTTGGTAGATCAGGTCACTAAAGTACATTTCCTATCCTGAGAGCACCATGGTTTGTATTGTATGCGGTGAGCATGTGGACAGGCAGAAACTACTACCTGTTGGAGTTTTATTTTATCTAGTAATGTGTGTGATTTTGTTAAAGTATTCTTAATAATACAATACCTTTTTTGTTGTATGTGGAAGAAAAGCATTTGATGGGTTTTAGGATGAAAAGCAAGAATTTGAGTGTAAATGTGAGGTACCACCCTTCCCTCCAGCAAGACATAACTCCGATTTAGGGAGGAGAATACGCAGAGCTGAATGTGAACTTCGTGTCCTCGTACCAATTAGCAGCAGATGAGAAGCATGCTGCAGAGCAACTGTCTCTGTAATAGCTGTGGGATGCTTAGAGAATGCCTGTTTTATGAAGCAAGCCAAGCAAAATTGCCTGCTTGGCATGTGCTTGCTGGGCTGGTGTTTTGTCACCATTACAAGACATCACTTTTGTAGAGCAAGTGAATACAGTTCTTACACAAAAAAAAGGGAGAGCAATTTCCAAATCTCCTAGTATGAGTTTTCTAAATCTGGTTTATCCAGACCCCTGATTCTGAATTGCATTAAGACCTCTCAGGAATTACACCCTGCAACTATTCAAGCTTCTGTTGATACATAAACAGGCATGTTTATGAAACCAGAGTACCTTGGATCTGTTTGTCCCTTTTTGTTTGGTGCTGAGCTAATTTTATTTTAAAACTCAAGAGTCTTCTCTCTTCGGTGAATGAAGGGACAGAGAGAACACAGTGGAGCTGAAATTTCCTGAATTATAATTAACAGTAATTTCAGTCCTGACTCTGACATAGGGAAGGATGCTAGGTTGGCCTAAAGTTGCTGTGACTTTTTTTCCACTTGCCTGAGTCAGACTTTTTTCATTATATTAGTGCAGGGAAAATTTACATGGTTCTAGGACTCCACAGCCTATAATTGATATTTCCTGTAATTTTGTTCCTTTTTCTTAGTTTGACAAGGTTTATTAGTCAAGATTTGGGCAAAATTTTAATATCAAATTTCTTTTATCTAACTGAACTCTATCAACATTTTGTTTGCTGTTTAGATAATTGCTATCTGAAAACTGATACTAGGGCAAATTATCTAGGAGTAAAATATATTCCCAGTGTGATTTATTTTAATGAATCGTAGAATGGTTTGGGTTGGAAGGGACCATAAAGATCATCTAGCTCTAACCCCTATACTGTGGGCAGGGACACATTCCATTAGACTAAGTTGCTCAGAGACCCATCCAACCTGGCCTTGAACACTTTCAGGGATTTCAGGGATGGGGCAACTTCTCTGGGCAACCTGCTCCAAGTTAAGTGAGGGACAGCTTTGTCTTGGGTGTGCTGAAAGGAAAAAGTAGTTTTGGCAACAGAGCTTTGGTGTAGCAGAATCAAAAATTAAGATAATAGGTTTCATAAGGAAAATATCTATGTTAAACCAACATGCTCAGAATACTTAAATAAAAATTCCGATAAATTGCTAAGGTGTTCATTAAATGTGCTCTTTATTGTAGGCCCTTAATAATGAAGAATGTAAGAAGTCCCATTTATGGTAGAAATTCCTGTTTTTCTCATCCAAGTGGGTTTGTTTAGGCTGTTTCACTTTGAAACTCAGCCTTTTTGAAAGAAAATTGTACGTTTTTTACATACAGGTACAATAGTTGATTACAAGCCTAGGCACAGACATTTGCAGGTAGCAGAAGCTAAGGCATAACTTCACCAATTGCTATTAACTACATGTAGTAGATAAGAAAACTTGTCTTTTAATCAAAAAAATACATTTCTCTGAGAGAGGTTTTGTTCACCACAGTACACATACATTATAAAATAAATTGGTGAATTGTGCAGCAGTTTGATTTTAGCTCTGAGGATTGCGTGACCTACATTTTTGCTTGATTTTTCACGGTGTTTGCTGTGTCATATGGTTAACCTGGTAAGACCTGTTTTTAACCATTCTGTTCCTGCAGTCCTTTAATAATGTGTAATGCAATATCTGTAACCTCTTAAACATCTCATGTTGTTCGCAATTTAGGCTTTGGAAATGTGTCCCCACGCACACAAGGTGGAAAGATATTCTGTATCATCTATGCCTTATTGGGAATTCCTCTGTTTGGTTTTCTGTTGGCTGGTGTTGGAGATCAACTAGGGACAATCTTTGGAAAAGGAATTGCCAAAGTAGAAGATACCTTTGTTGTGAGTATGCTGACTGCCTCCTTTGTTTCTCATCCTGCTTGTGGTTCTGAATTAAACAAGTGAAATGAATAGTCTGAAAAACATGATGTAGCTCATCAGTGCAACCAGATATATAGCAAAAGGTAGGAAGGACTTTACTGAACACCTCTAATTGAGAATTGAATGAAGCCCAACACTTCCTAGAATGATTATGCTTGGGAAGAGGAATAAAATCCTAAGTGTTCTATTTTTGCTTTGCCCCTGTACTCCTGAGCTTGCTGTGATGCTTATCCTTAAAGACTGTAATAAGGAATCAGTGATTCAGAGAGATGGAAGAGGGGAGCTGTAGGGGTAACATGGAAATCGTTACTGCTACTGTGAGATGATTAACTGATGAAATTTGGTGTCTGAGTCTAAAATCACAATTCTTAAAATCTCTACTCAGATGCCATCATACCTGAGGAAATGCCCACAGGCTGTAGGCAGGTTTATGGATCTGTAGGTAACTAGAGCTTTGGACATTTACAGAAGCAGTACAGGCTAAAAGGTAGAGAGCATGTTGGTGCTTCCTGACATTGGACTTTTTTTGTGGTCTCCTCACCAGGCTGTATTCTATAGTTTGAGGCATTTTCAGCCTCTTCTGTTGAACTGCTTAGCACAGCCCAAAGATTCATGCCCTTCATTTTATTTGGCTACCAATCTTTAATTACTCATGTGAAGTGGCACAATGGAGGAAGAGACCTGTCAAACAGGCTAGACACTTGTGCAGATAAAGTTCTGGCATAACTGTTCTTCAACAACCAAATGCCTTGAATTCAGTCTCTGTTTCACGCACATAAAATTTAATTATGATTACGTTTTACTAATATGGTTCTTAAAAATGTATTTATTGAGATTTTTGAAGCAGTGAATACTTAGTAACCAACTTGACTTTCTAGCCATTTGCATCAGCGCTGCAAGAGTTAGAAGGAATGTTTTTGTGCAACAAGCCCCAATTTTTGCATCAGGACACCTTTTCTATATAGAAAGGGTCTGACGTGGCTTTAGTTTTGAAGCAGAGCAAACTGGGCCTGTGCTGAGGAGTCTTATGCAGTAAGTAAATACAAGCTTGAAAGTTAGTTTAGAAAAGGCATGTATTTTTGGCTTTGAAACATCAGTTCAGGTCCAGACAAGCTACTGGCGAATAACAAAGATTTCCATTGAGATTTGTCTAAAAAAGTCATGAACATTCCATAAGAACATGTTATTGTTGTAATTTCTAGGCTTTTATAGCTGAATTTAATTTTTCTTTTTTGGCTTCAAAGTGTAGAAGATCTGAGATCTGTGTGTCTCTTGCTCAAAGGGATAATGGTTTTCCTTTTTTTTTTTTTTTTTTAGTGGACATATCCCTACAGCAAGAGTGCCCCAACATATAAAGCAGTGTCTTGCCCACTTTTGACAGTATCCGAACGAAAATAGTGATTTACATGTTGCAGTCTGCAACATTCATTTATTCTGTTTGCTAGGAAGAACTGGAAGATGCTGATAGGTCAGAGCAAGGAATTTCATGTTGTCATAACCCAAACTGCTACTGTGATTTGGCTTACAAAAGCTGGACCTTGATCATGTTGACTGTAAAACACAGTTTCCATTGAAACTTCAAAAAGAAAAGATGCATCATGAACAATCTGATTTCATATTTGGTCTATTTCTGTGAAACTTTCTGGGTTTGTATATTCCCATCTTTTAAGCTGAACCAACATGCATCGGATGGATGGAAAACTCTCAGGAAAATGTCACATTTTTTGGTCATCTTGAATGGGACTTTGTAGTGGTTTGTACTACAGTTCAGAAAAATATTAGTAGTTTACACAACAGCTAAATGACTTGATTCATTAAATCTGCAGATTACCTCAAGCTGAGAAGAGAATTAAAAGTTTGAGGACAGAATTATCACTCAAAATTATCTTAAAATTTTTGAAAAACAATCTGAATAGATAGGACTAAATTCAAGAAGGGCAAATTCAAAATACTATATGAAGGAATAATAAAATATGCAATTAAATGTCAGGAAACAGCTGTCTAGGTTGAATTTTATAGAAATGCTGTGCCAATTCTAAGGGCTCATTTACTAACATGGGTTAATGTCATACTGCTGTGGAAGAGCATACATCATAGTTAAAATTATAAATAGGAATGTAAATATATAAATAGGCAAGGCATAAAAAAGGATCTTTCCACTCTATTTTGTGCTATTTTTTCATATCTTGTTTTGAGTATAATACTTCATTAAACACACATTAGTTTGCTAGGGCCAAGGGATAGCAAGAATAAGAAGGGAAAGAAAAAATGAAGAAATGAATTTATTTGGTTAAAGAACACAACTGAAAGAGAACACCTGTGACACAGGTGTTGGACAGAGAAAATTAGCAATTTCTTTATTTGCCTTGGATAAGACCATAAATAGTGGACTTAAACTAAAGGAGTTGAGATGCAGGTTAAGCATTGGGAAAACTCAGATGACAAGAACATTTAAGCATGATCACATGTTGCCTGGCCAGGAATGTATTTGCAGTGGCTTAGGTGGGGTTGTTTTTGGCTTGGGGCAAGTTTGGTCATTTCTTCACGTCCATTCCATCTCTGTTTTCCGTGGTTCTGTTTACTTGATTAGAGAGAACTATATGGTTAAAATTCACCTTATTTATTTGGTTATTTGTGGATGCACAGACGTGGAGACATTGCAGGTGCACTACTTGAAGATCACTTGAATATCTAGACCCTTCTCAAAACTTTAGCATGATCAGCTGTTAATATTAATGAATGTTATACGTGCCACTCACCATAAAGAGTCCAGCCCTCCTCTGCATTTACTGCTGCCAAAAGTTTTAGACTATCTTAGGACAGTCATGTTTACTTTGAAAACTCTTTAAAAATAAAACTCTGCTTTGATTTTCCTGTTTGTTTGAGAATTATAATGCACTATCCTCTAGAGCAATGCAGTGCACACTGTGGGCCATGGGTTCTTATGTGTACTAGTGCAGTTTTATTAACAATGGGTTTCCTCTCTTTTCCATTCCCTTTCCAGAAATGGAATGTGAGTCAGACAAAGATACGCATAATTTCAACAATAATATTCATACTGTTTGGCTGCGTGCTGTTTGTTGCTCTTCCTGCAGTTATATTCAAGCACATAGAAGGCTGGAACACCCTAGATGCAATTTACTTTGTGGTTATCACTTTAACTACCATTGGATTTGGTGATTATGTTGCAGGTAAGATTTTCTCATAGCCCTTTGTTTAATAATATTTTGCACAGTGATATTTGTATTATTTTGGGACAGAAGTCTCCCTTGTGTTGCCTCTCTTCCAATTTTACCCTTTGGGACAGTTAAATGCATGGTGCCTGTCTCTGCACACTCTGTTTTTTCTCCTCCTGTACCGTTAAATGATATTTTACCTAATTTTTATGTAGGCTTTTTTATTGTTCTTACATATTATGAAGTGCAAGAATTAATATTTTAGTCTGAATATATCTTTTCTGCTGAAGTTGCTCAAAATATCTCACACTGTGAAGTTATATGACACCGGTTTTGCGTGCATCCCTTACTTTCAAAATGTTCCAGAACTCTGTTTCTGCCATTAAAATGTCTGTATTGCTGTTGGATCCTGCTTCTGTGATTTCTTTTGTTTGTCAGTACACATTTGCCGACTTTTTTTTTGCAATGTAAGGAGAAAGTTTAGAATAGCCCATAGATAATGGGTCCAACTTTTATGGTTCTATTAACCTGTACTGGTTGCAAAGAACTTTGACATAATGAGCTAAAAAAAGCATTGACCAGTTCTCCACATCACCTTATTTTCTTGAAAAGGTGTTAGAGGTGTTAGCTGTCTTCTCAGAACAGATTTTACGTTGGTACACGCTGTCTGTATTGAGAAAGCAGGTTGATCCTACTCAGTGATATGGAGAGGTGAGAATTAGAAATTGAGAGCATTGTGCCCTGAGTCTGAGATTTGCTTTCCTCAGCCTGATCTGATGCTTCTGCTGATGCAGCATCATCTCTCTTTCATGAGATACCTCTTCCACCTCTGAGCTCTGTGCAAAGCATAGGTGGCTGAGGACCGCAGTGCTGGGCTTCTGTCAGTGAGCTACTCTGATGGAGGGAAGTTTTTTGTAGCCATCCACGTGGTGTGGGTTCCTTCTGTGCTTCATCTGTACCCACAGCTGTTGCATGAGTCTGAGTGTACCAAGCTGAGGGTCTCAGGTTGGGTAACTCCTCATGTAGGCCTACTTGAAGTTTTGACTTGATGGCAGTAATGTGACTCGTCTTGTCACTGGCAAAAGTTTTTCAAGTTGGTGAAGTCCAACAAGGACCTCTGAAGTGTCTGAACCATTCAACATGTTCGTAAATGATCTGGGTAAAATGGGGGAAAATTCAGTTATCATTGGAGATACTAAGCTATGCAAGCAGTCTAAAAACAAAGACCACATGAGAAGTTGCCAAAAATTCTTGTCAGTTGTAGAACTGAGCTGTAAAATAGCAAATCAAATTTATTTGGACTTTCATATAGTTCTTTATTATGTTTCCTTATTTCTTTTGTATGTGTATCACTGATTTCTCCCTTTCCCTTTTCTTTCCCATATTCTTTTTCTTATTTTCATTTTGTCTTCAGGCATTTGTGAGTCTGTTCAGATACTTACTAAATAAAAAATTTATGCTGTTTCCAAGTCAAGAGTCTAGGTGGTTTAGACTTTCGTTCCTAAAGGGTGTGTGTATGCCAGGGAATAAAAATGATGGTGTATAAAGGCCTGGTTATATTTACTGTAAAGCATTATGTGAACGGCCCACTTGGCTCTAACTAGAACACTGAGTACATTCATCATTACTCCCATTATAAATTGCCACAGACCTTTCTATTTGTAGACCACTTGATATCATAATTTGTTCCTACATCATGTCTGCTTTTTAATTTTACCAGGAAACACTTTCTCTTTCTACACACTGTCCTTGAATTACATTGTTCTGTAGCTGATGGCCTTTTATGGTTCACTCGATTTATTTTTTTTATTTATTTTAAAATCCCACTGTAAATTCACTCTTTTAAAGTGTCACGAATGCTTTCTATTTTCTTTGAGTAAAATGTATAAGATTTGTATTTGTACTGCAATATGTTGTTGACTTAAAGTTTCAGTATGTGGGAATGGGATTTGTACCTGCAGAGACAATGCTCAAGAGAACAGGGTTAGATGGTGTAGCAGATTGACCCTGCCTGCATGCCAGGCACCCACCAAAGCCATTCTCTCACTCCCCTCCACAAATAGACAGGGGAAAGAAAATATAATGAAAAGTTCATGAATTGAGATAAGGACCAGGAAAGATCATTTACTGAATACCATTATGGGCAAAACAGACTCAGCCTGTGGAAATTAAGTGATTTTATTACTAATGAGGTCGGAGTAGGAAAACGAGAAATACAACAGACCTTAAAACACGTTCCCCCACCCCTCCCTCCTTCCCAGCTCTATCTCCTCCCCACAGTGGTGCAGGGAGATGGAGAGTGGAGGTTATGGTCACTTCATCACATGTCGTTTCTGCCACAGCTCTCAGAGAGAGGAGTCCTTCCCCTGCTCCCATGGGAGACAGCTGTCCATGAACTTCTCCAGTGTGAGTCCTTCTCATGGGCTACAGTTCTCCATGAACTGCTGCAGCATGGGTCACTCTCCACAGGGTGCAGTCCAGTCCCTCAGGGACAACCTGCTCCCGCACAG